GCTCTGCCAATGTCAAAGTTAGCTGATGAGCTGGATTCCCATTGGTTTTCTTCCATCCCTTTCCTCCTTTCTTATAAAGGACTACTTGAAGCAAAAATTCTAATTTCTTACTTGGACCCATTTTTAGATGCTAAAATAAAGAAAATTAAAGGTACTAGTACTGGGTATGTTTTTGTCATGCACACCAAATTTCAAGGGTGCTCACAGCTCTTGTAAAGGAATATCTTCACTATTTAATCATAGGAAAACTTCATAGGGAGGCTTAGGTTAGCTCTTTTTTATCCAGTAACAATACAAAAAAGATTTCACTTGGAGTAACAAATGAGATTATTCTGTCATGACACTTTTGCAGAGCCTATACTTGAGAAGCAAATAACTACTCTTCTAGTCCAAATTATAAATTTTGTATTAGAAATATTTATAATTTTCTCTGTTAATCATTTCTCTGTGAACATATCCATATACTTTGTAGAGATAATTCCCACGGTCCTTGCTGATTGGGCATGTGACTTGCCACCCTGACCACAGACAATTAGATCATGTGTAACCCCTTCTCAATTTCAGCCAATCAGATTCCCTGTCCTTGCTATTGAATTTGGGTTTCTGAGAGCTACATTGTGCCTGTTGAGCATATAAAGAGAGAAGTAAAGTCAGCAATGGAGACTTTGTGTTTGCTCTTGTGCCAAGAAGTGGAAAGAACTGATTAAGAGAGATAAAAAAGAGATGTAGAGACAGAGAGAGAAATGACAGAGAGAGAGGTTCCTAGTCCACTGAGGGTAATCATGACAGCGGAGGTATGGAACATTTGTAAAACGCTATGAGGATAAAATAAGAGAAGGCTATGCATTGTTAGATAGCCCAGGAAAAGTTCTCCTTCAGTCCAAGGACCAGGTTACAACAGGAAATGCAGCCAGAACAAATCACTTCAAAGGAAAAGCTGTAATTTCATATGAAATTACCAGCTGTATTTTTCAGTTGCTACATGAAGCAGGTATGAAAACTATTTTCACCAGAGAATGTGAGGAGACAGCATTCATTGTACCTAATTGTGAAATTATTCTAAGAATAGGTTTATGGAAAAATAGCAACTGGTTCTTTCCTAGTGTTAAGGAAGGATACAAGTTTTAAACACCTAAAGTGGTGATATTTTCAAGGGTGGTGCCAATAATGATCCACAATGGTCTGAGGAGCAGCATATTGCTGCAAAATTTTGCTTTTCTGAAGTTGTAGACCAAACTGAAGGGGATATCATGAATCATGCAACACAGGCTATTTTTAAAAAGATTTTATGTATTTACTTATTTGTTTTAGAGAGAGAGGAAGCAAGGGAGAAACAAGACATACAAGAGAAACATTGATTGTTTGCCTCTTGCATGCCCCTAAATACAGATCCTTAACCCAGGAATGTGATGATCGAGAATTGAACTGGGGACCTTTTGGTTCACATGCCAGTGCTCAATCCACTGAACCAACCCAGCCAGGGTGTACACAGGCTATTTTTTAAATACTAAAGAAATTCTGATTGCCCCAGGACTGTACACTGGTTGATATGGAGATTGAATTTGGTGTTGATGTCACCACCAAAAAAATTATTATTCCCACTGATGTTATTGATAATGATTCCTAAAGACTTTGGTCATCAGATCAAAGCCAACAGAAAGACAAACAGTCATATTGTGAACTCAAGAATGTAACTTCTGAAGGGCTCCAGATGGTAAAGAAAAATTTTGAGTAGGTGGCAGGAATAGCAGAGTTGCTTCTAAAACCAGGAAGTTGATGCAGTGTTGTAGAATTGATGGGCTCAACCTCTGATCTCAGTCACTATGTAAATTAAAGAAGGCTTGTGGAAATGTTGGCATCCATGTGAACTCTGGGTAACCTTTGTCCATAAAGGACAGATAAAACTCTGAGGATTAAAGGTGAGTATGAAGGGTACTATATTCTTACTGTATTTGTGGCAGCAGCAGACAGAAGTAATAGTGTAGGGCCATCGATGTCTGGTAATATTGCATATCCAGTTATGAGCTGTCTTCCCCTCCATCCAGACTGAGGAGCTCAGGATGTGTGGTCTTCTCTTTGGCTACCCAGTGGTCTTGGCTGTTCAACTATACTTTCTCCAGGAGGGCCAGCTCTGTTTGCTGCTCAGATATTTGGATTAAACAGCCATTTGTTAGGGCCAAACTACAAGCAAGTATACTGAGCACATGGATTTCCTTGAAGCAGGCTGACAAAAAAATCAGAGAGGGTAATTTTTTTAAAGGAGAAAAAGTACAAATTTTTAGTTTAGCTGGAGAAAAAAATCAAGCAAGATAAAAAGATTTTTAAATCAATCATAAGAAACAAAGAACATTTATTAGTGAAAAATGTGTGTATGACAGAAAGAATGCAGAATAACAACCACATGCAGACAGAGACAGAGATAAGAAACCAATTTAAAAGAGATTAAGAGCAAACCTTGCTTTTGCTTTCTACTACTGTTTGCAGTACTTTGTGGATGTTAATTACATTTTATATTTTTTCATTTCATAATATGTCCCTGTACATTGATGATAAATACAACCTTTCCTTTTTTTCTTTTGTAAGTTTATATATGATATACGTGTGTATGGTTGTTATTTGAGTGGGTTTTGTTCCTTGCAACTAAGGAATCCCAAGACAGATTTACCTTTATAATCTCACCTATGATCAGTAGCATTTTCAAGATGGTGAGTTTTTAAATTTTATTTTTTAATCCTCATCCAAAGATATACTTTTTACTATTGATTTTACAGAGTCAGGAAGGGGTAAAGAGAGAGAGAGAGGAAGAGAAAGAGATATGAGCAAGGAACATCAATTGATTGCTTCCTGTACACACCCTTACTGGGGATTGAACCGGAAACCTAGGTATGTGCCCTGACTAGGAATTGAACCCTCACACTTTTGGTGTACTTGATAAGGCTCCAACCAACTGAGCCACCTGGCCAGGGGAAAATGGCAACTTTGTTTTAGGAGTAGAACTTATGATCATAGGACTAGAACCAAGGAATGAGGCTTCTGTGATCTAGAGTCTTAGCATCATGCTAATTGATTTATCTGTCACTGATGCTCTAACATGTACATATGTATTTCCTATGATTTAATTCTTTGCATGAGACAAAAATAAACACTATAATTGATATCCTCTGCAGAAGACCATGACCTTCCATCTGGGATAGATTTCCAAAAATGTCTTACTTGGAGCCCAGAAGGTTGGAATGATTCTAAGATTTCCCATCACACCATTGGCCAGGGTCTCTTTTTTCCTTCTCCAAAAGGTGTGAATTTGACCTTTTCCATGGTCACCAAGGTTGCCAAATTCAGCTTCTTGTGACTTTGATGGAGAGCATCCCACAGAGTTCTATTTGAGGAATGCCAAATGGTCCTTCAGGACACAGCTGGTACCACCCTCTCTTTCACAGTACCTGAAATGTGCACAGCTATTTTTATTGAGTTGTAATATTATTGTTTCTAACAACATCTAATATTAACAAAATTAGCAATGCAAACAGAGAGGACAGAGAACTCTCAAAACTGCCAGTTGTATAATGTTGGGAAAGTCAAAACTCAGTGCTTCAGTTTCTCCATCTGTAAAATGACAATATCTATCTAGGTTTATTAGGGAGTTCAATGAGTTTATATTTGTAGAACCCCTATGATAGTGCCTGGTATATAGTATGAGCCTTGTTAAACACACGTTTCCTGTTAAAATGGTGAGAGGGCAAAGTCTGGACTTTCCCTCACATGGCATGTAAACACTTTCTGTCTGCTTGGAAAGGGGGTGAGTTAAAAATAATAGGGCCTTGGTGGATTTGGGGTACTGCTGGTTGAGATAACACTTCACCAGACTAAGGGTGAAAGTCTCCCTCCTGAAAGAGTTTTCTTAACATATTTCTGTGAGGTTTACTGTGTCAAGCAGGGAAAAAAGAAGAGGTGAGGGAGAAAACTTGGGAAGTTATAATAATTTTAAAATAAGTACAAGTCTTCATGAAAGTCAGTCTCAAATGTTCAGGAATTGACCTCTGTGTGTATGTAAATTCATATATAGATACAATTTAAATTCAGGAATACATTCGTGACCATAAAGGATGAGGGTCCTTAAAACATGGCCACTTTTAGATCATAATCTCAGGGTCTGTTAAACCATGGTCACAGATTACAAGGTTGTTGTTGTTGTTGTTATTTTGGTTTTAAGTCATGTTTATTTAAGAATAACTCACATACAATAAAACTAACCATTTTTAGAGTACAGTTTTAAGAATTTGACAAATGCATGTAGTCATGAAACCACCACCACAATAAGATACAAAACATTTCCATCTCTCCCTAAAAGTTTTCTCATGTGGAAAACTGCTGACCACCCACAGCACTGGTGACCACTGATCTGTTCTGTTTTTCTCCCATAATTTTGTCTTTTGTAGATTGTCAGTAAAGCTTCTTTGACTTTTGAGACCAGGTCAGATGGTAACATCACTTTTAGTATCCTGTAGCTTTTATCACAATTATAATTACACTGCATATGCAATTGATTTATACATTGATCAGTGTTCATCTCCACTGTTACACTTCCCCAGACATGTGTGAGGGCAGAGATGGTCTGCTGGTTCATTACTGCATCTCCAGCAGTTCTATGGAGCAGATGCTCAGCAAATGTCACTTAATGAACAAATAATGAGTGATTCACTAACGATAAGGAAAGTACTCTGTCACTATCAACTCAGCAAGAGTAATGTGATATTCAATGGTATAAATCTTTCATATTGTGAAACACCAAGAGATCATCTATTATTCAGAAATTCCTAAAGCATATGCATGGAGTTTGGAGTTATATTGGGTCTGAGTATTAGCAATCAGAACCAGCCATGCTATCCCAAATGCATGTCAGGATATCAATTAATTGGAAAAAAGGGAGATAATCTTTAATTACTCAACACTGTCTTTGGTCATTATTTTGTCTAATTACATAGTTAAAGCTGTTTATTTGATCATTTTACATTCCATATATTTTGTAGCAAATCTGACATTATAGTGATACTTAACAATAAGACCATGAAATCCTCAAAATCAAGCTTATTTTCTGTATGCTCATCAAATTCAGAAAGAAGGTCTTTGTATTTTGGGTTGGTTTCTTGTCTCTGTAATAATAAAGAAAAGGTACAAACCTAATATATTGTGCCACCTGGGTTTTATAAATAATTAGCTATAATGAACTTGTTATTAACTAATATAACATGTCAAGTTGCTACTAGTGCTACTAGACAAGCACTGTGTTAAATCTTTTTGTGGGATATCTCATTGAATCTTTGCAGTAGCCATATTGAATATGTACTATCATTGTCCCTATTCTACAGGTGAAGTATCAGATACTCAGCAAGAGTTAAGCCACAAGCTAGGTAGCTACTGGTTTGGAGCCAGACATAGCCTTGGCTACCTCACCCACTTTTAACTGTTAAGTCATCCTGCTTTTTTACAAACACAAATAGTGTTCAGTTTCAGATTTTCAAAACATAATCTCTTTGGGAGTTATATAGCATGTGTTCCACTGAACAATTAGATTATCCAGAAATATGAAATAAAATATGCTAAAGAAAAATATGTACTTTGGAAGATTGTTGAACATTTAGTTTGAACACAAATCAAATTCAAGTGCATTGTTCTCATAAATGGATTGAAGCAAAACATATAAATAGTACATAAATGGAGAGGCTTTTTAGTTTTCAACCGCAGCTTGTGAAATATATTCCAAATTGAAAATGTTAAGGTCACTTGATTTGCTGTTATACTGACCTATGTTTGCATTTAGCTCAACACCAAATGCTCACCCATGTGCTAGCTGCAAGAAAAAAAAAACATCACAGGAAGGACTGAGGCATGTTAGGAATGATGATATATTCCTCTACAGTCTTTGCCCATTATTGCTTCTCTACACTCATTCTCCTCAAGAGATTACATCTACCAGTGAGGGCCAAAAGAGGACTCCCAATCCTTCCAAGAGAGCTGAATGCTATGTATCTTAAAACTGACACATTCTAATGGAATTCATTGTCTCCTCCCCACCCCCACCTTACTTCAAATATTTTGATTCTTCAGTCTTTCTCTTCTCTGGGAACAGGACTACCACCCATTTTCTTCCCAAAGTCAAACTGAAATATCATAATTTTCTGTTCCTGTCCTTTAAACTCACAGCCAATCAATGCTCAAATTCTGTTCATTCCACCTTCCAAATGTTTCTCATATTCATCACCCTAATCCAAACCATCATATTAGCTTCCCTTTGGATTGCCTCCCCACATTTACTCCATTCTTTCATGTCTCATCCCCACCCCTACCCCAATCTGATCTTCAGTTGGTGTAATTTATTCTTCCTGGACTTAGAAACCATTGCTGGCTTCACTCTGCCCTCAGGTTATGCCTCTGCGACATTTAGCTTCTCTCCACCTCCCCAACCTCATCACATACTGCTTCCTGCTTTTTTCCCCTCCCTCACCAATGACTTACTGCCTCTCACAGGTCTCTGACATGCTTTATGGCATTTTACCTGCCATTTCCACACCTTGAAATGCTATTATCCTCACCCCACCACCTTGAATTGTAACTCTTGCTCATTCTTTAGATCTCAGTTATACCTTAATTTTCCAGGAGCCCTTCTTTGACCACTCACACCAACATAGTACCTCTGTTTTATTCTTTCATTCATACTTACTATTTTATCATCCTTTTTCTAATTACTCTTCAGCATATCTCTCTAGACTGCTGGATCGTTAGCTTTTCACTGGATTAAGCCCAGTGCTTAATTCACATATGGCATAATTCACCTCATGACTTATGGTAGATGTTCAATAAATATTTGGTGAATGAATCAACATGGTAGGTCCTTGAGCTGGAGCTATAGGCACTTTGGACCAGCCATTATGGTGTGGTGCCTGTTATTTTTCTTAACCTCTGTGAAATTCCTAAATTGGGTTTGTAGAAGATTTTTGGCAGTAGCTTTTTCAAGTTTACCATTGGGGTCAGAGAACTTCTGAAAATCAGAGCAGTTGATAGCAATAGCTTTCTCCAGATCTGAGCCCTTCATGACAGCTGTGGGAGAAGACATACACAATGATATAGCCCAAAATTAGAAGTAATCTTTCCCCAGACATGGGATTATACCCTCCGTGGAAACAGAGGGGAACAGGGTGAGAAAGTGTATGTCAACCTGGCTCTGTTCTTGAGCCATTTGTTCCCTACTGAGAGTGGGACATGGGAGAGTTTCATCCTGGACCTTTAAAGAATGGAAACAAAATTTTTTCAGGAGTAATAAAATTGGTAGAATTAGGATAAGATTTACCACCTGCTTGCCGTGTGACCTTGGAAAAGAAACCTCATCTCTCTACACTTGAGTTTTCTGATCTGTAAAATATTTACAGTGCACATCTTGTGGGCTAGGCTCAGTCTCTGGCACTGAGGATACCTCATTGAATAAGACAGAGTCCTACTCTCGTGGAGTTAATATTACTTGTCAGACAGATTATCACCTCAAGCCAGTGTGATAAAGTAGAATGACATGCAGAACAAGCTCTTTGATGTCATGATAGATAAGCAATCTCTTTGACTCACTGCCTCAAACACCGTGATCTCTCAGCTGGTTTTTCTGGTTTAAATTTCTTGAAATGTCACTACTAACTCATTTCTTTCCAGTGGGTAGCAACATCAAGAACTGCACAAAGTAGAGTGAAGACCATTCTTAAGCTGTCTCCTCTCTGAGTCCCTACTATAGAATACAGTCCCTATTATAGAATTTACATTTCAGTTATTGGATGTTTAACTGGCTTTCTCCCCAGCTGGAATGCAAACTCCATGGGGCCAGGGATCATGCATTCATTTATCATTATATTCCCAGGATCAAAAGAGATGCCAGGTGCTAATGCTGTTGAATAAATAAATAAATAAATAAATAAATAAATAAATAAATAAATAAGAAAAAAAAAAGAAAACCTTCACAGCTTTCAGCTTATGTTATGTGCAATAATTGTCCATTCAAAGGCTACTGGTCAGTCAGAATAATGTGACTTTTGTATTGAGCAGTCGCTGTGCTCTTGGTACTCTCTTAAGGGACTTAACACATAGAGGTTACACAACCAGCTGTGGACTCTGCCCTATATATCTTACAGTCTAGTGGAGATATAAATAATAACCAAGAGGAACTATGTATACATACATATGTATTATATATTTTTAATAATTATTCCTCCATAGACATATGTAATATTCATATTTGGGACTTGTGATGTATGAGGCAAAGAAGGTCCAGAAACAGAAAAAAATTTACAGAGTGGGGCCAGGAGGAAAGCTATTTAGATTGCCAGTCTTGGAAAGGAGTTCTTTCTAAGTTATTAATATTTTGACTAAGACCCATAGGATGAGGAGAAGTCTGTTTGGTGACAATGTGGGGTCGTGCTGGGGTTAAGGTTGTGCAGAGCATCCCAGGTTCAGAGAGCAATAAGTGCAAAGGCTTAGATCACAGATCTCAGATCAGTTGGAGCAGTTGAGATGAGACAGTTGTGGCTAGAGTCTAGAAACCGAAATGCGTTTGATTGGGAAAGGTAGGCAGGGTTAGAAGATGCTGCTCATAGACCATGGAAGGAAACCAAGATTTTCTTTAAAGTGTAGAGAAAAAAAATTGAAAAGTTTTAACCATCTATTTTTTTCAATTAAAGGTGAAAGAAAAGAACAGGGGTTAAAAGAAATTGAGGAAGGAGGAATTATGTGGGCTTTCTCAGTTTGTACTGTAGCTTTGAGCAGTAAGTAAAACTCAAGTAAAAACTCAAGCTAAGTGGTGTTGCTACAATTTTTGTGTCTATAAGCGTCTGCTGACAAACAAAACAGAACCACAAGCATGGAAACACTGGACAGACTGACAGTGTCCAGAGTGGAGGAGGGAGGTTGATAGTCCTGGAGCGAAGGAAGGGACTAGTTAAAGAGCATGTATGAATGACCCACAGACATGGACAACAGTGTGGGAATTGACTGTGGGAGTGGGAGGTGAGATGGGTGGAGGAGGGCAAAGGGGGAAAATCTAGGACAACTGTAATAGAATATCCATAAAAAAATCTTTTAAAAAATCTGCCCAGTATTCTAGTCAATGTGTTGGCATCTCTCCTGTCATTGAGGAAATAGCCCTCTCCATTCCCCCAGGCCATTTTCCCATACCATTTAGCCTGAAGCTTGAATTATTTGGACTTCCTGAGGTTGCAAATGGATTAGATTACCCTTCTCTTTGATCCTCACTCCTACTTATTTGCTCTAAGCTAAAGCAAGTAGAGGACATATGTGCATGCAGCAACCTGGTTTGGGTAGAAAGTTGGACCTGCAATGTACTGCGCATTTACTAAGTATAACATACTTTAATAATTTGTACAGTACATTTAATTTTCATAATACCCATAGGAATTATTATACTATTTAACATAGTGGTTTATGATATGAATGTACCATAGTTTGTTTAGCCATTCACCTTTGAGGGACATTTGAATGTTTTATAATTTTGGCTATTACAAATCAAGCTTGCAGGAACATTTGTGTACAAGTTACTATACAAAATGTAGTTTTTGTTTTCTTTGGAATTAATGCCCAAGAATGGGTCATATGATAAGCCCAGTTTTTCTTTAAGAAACTACAAGCTGTTTTTTACAGTGGATGTACCATTTTACAGTCCCATCGGCCATGTGTAAGAGATACAGTTTTTTCTCCATCCTTTTCAGCCTTTGTACTGTCACTGTTTATTAGTCATTCTGTTGGTGTGTCATAGTGTTTCAGTGTGGTTTTAATTTGTATATCCTACTGGTTAATGATGCTGGATAGCTTTTCATGTGATTAGTTGCCATACGTATATCTTCCTTGGTGAAACGTCTGCTCAGTTCTGTTCATGGATTTTGCCAATTTAATAACTGAATTTAAAACAATTTCTGAGGCTTGAGAGTTATGTATCTATTAATAAGATTCAAGTCTTTTATAGAATTTATAATTTGCAAATATTGTCTCCCAGTCTGCAAATTGCCTTTTTATTTTTCTCAATGGGCTGTTCTGTGGAAGAAATGTTTTCAATTTTTATAAAGTCCAACTTAACAATTTATTCTCTTATGAAAAATTTGTCCCATGCATAATGAACAGTTTTATAACTTAATGTCCTGCATTTTAATCCATGATCCATTTGAGTTAATTTCTGTATAATGTGTCATGTTGGGAACTACTCTGCCTGGTTTCAGGCACTGCAACCATTTAAGGCTGAATGTGTGACCTCCAGAATGTGAGCCACTGAGGAGACAAGGCTCGTCTCTGGCAGCAGATGCTGCCCCTGCTTCATCATCATGCCCCCAAAGTATGGTCGGATGGTCAGAGACAAGTGAGACCCCTCAGAGGAGAAGCAACGTAGGCCAGACACGATCACTTGGGAGGCTATTATGGCAGGACTTTGGGGGGGGGCTGCTACATGAAGGGAGTGATAGGCCCTCAGCCCCCCTGGCTACTGTAACATAGGCCAGTCCCCATGTCCTCTGGAAGAAGCACTTCTTGGCTCTAATCCACTTAAGCCTGAATACCTGTGATGGAAAAATGGTGCAACATTTCACCAGCTAGTGCAGGGCCTGGGTAATCTGGCAAGATAAAGAATTCTTAACAAACCTGTGAGATCTGCTGTGCTAAGAATGCTTTTAGTTAAATGTTTCTATTTTCCCATAATTTTATAGCCTTTTAGTTGATAGACCTTGATTCAAGGACAAGTTCAAATGGTTTTTGTATAGTATCTGCTGTTTACTGTCTATCCATAATAATAAGCTTGTATCTGAATGCCTGTGCAAAAATCCCAATAGAAGCCTGACTAGTCAAGGGTCGGAGCGCTTTCTCTCCCCTGGGAGAGAGTTGCCAGGATGCTCCAATCCACTCTCCCCTTGAGAGGGTGGCGAGGCCATTTTGAGGCTCTCCCCCCTTGAGGGAGTAGCCTTGCTGGCCCTTTTCCTCTACAGGATTTGGTAGTCCCTGTGGATTTGTCTTGTGTCTCATCCATGATGCCGCTGGCACTGCTTGTCAGTGCATGCGTCAGTGTTGGAGTTAGGCTGAGGTTCATTTTTTTACCTGTTGATGACCACACCAACTGTTGAAAACTCTGTCCTTTCTTCACTGGATTGCTTTTGCCTCTTTGTCAAAAATCAGTTGAGCATACTTGTGTCAGTCAATTTTTGGGTCCCCTCTTCTGTCTGATTGACCTATGTGTCTTACTCTTTGTTACAGTGTTCTGATTCTTGTAGCTATATAGTAAGTCTTAATATTAGAAAGAGTGATTCCTGACACTTTATTTTTTTTCTTAAAATAATTTTTGCTATTCTAGGGCATTTGTCTTTTTATATAAATTTTAGGATAAGCTTGACTCTTAAAAAAACCCTTAAACCCTTTATAAAAATTGCATTAAACCTAGGAAGCAATATAGGAAAAATGGATGTATTTACTACACGGATTCTTCCAGTCCATAAACCTAGTTTGTTTCTCCAGCATTATAGCATTTGATCAGTGATGAAAGGAGATGATCCTTCTGAGGACACAATGCTAGTAAATGACAGAACCTGAATTTGGATATATGTTGAAAACATAAGATTCATGGACACAGTGATATATTTTTTTTGCCTGTCTTTTTTTCTGTAGCTCATAGGTGCTTCACAAATGAATGTCCCACTCCTTGATTTTTTCCTTGGTTTCTGATGCTCAGTCTCACCATGGCCTGTGGTTTGTGTCTTGTGTTTCCTGCTTCCACCTGCATACCCAGTGGCTGCTCCTCCATCTAGCCTGCAAGCTTAGCTTTAGAAAATCCCCTGCTTTTATAATTCTATTTTTATCTCTTCCCCCCATATCACTTTACCTCTGCCATACCTGGAAACCTAAATTAAAAATGGGATTTTCATAAATTACTCAAGACTTTCCTGCTCATTAACATACAGGAAGATGGGCATGTTTCTTTTTAGCTCACGTTTGCCTTTCCTGGAGTGTGTGTATTTGAAGTGGTGGGGTGCTATATGGTGGTAACTATGAATTCAAATGGCTTACATTAATCTCTGTTTATAAATAGCACTGTCTTTAAAAAGCAAATTGCTTAGAGGAAATACCTTAATTCCTCAGGAGGTAAATACTGCCTCTATAATTTTGACTAGTTGACTTCTTAATGACCAAGAATAATTAGAAAGCAAGCTTAGTTTAAAAATTGCTTTACTGGGAGAAGGGGGGAGAAGGTACAGAAAATAAGTAGCATAAACGGTAGGTAGAAAATAGATAGGGGAGGGCAAGAATAGTATGGGAAATATAGAATCTAAAGAACTTGAGACACATGGTCATAAACTAAAATGGGGGAATGGTGGGGATGGCGGGTGCAGGGTGGACGGGAATGAGGGGGGAATAGAACAACTGTAATGGCATAATCAATAAAATAAAATTTTTTTAAAAATTGCTTTACTGGGTCTGAGACTTCTCACGGGGGATAGTAGTCTCTGGTCCTGATGACTGTGTCCTTCTGGAGAGGAAGTGTTGAATTTCCAAGCTACAAGTGTACTTTCAAATAATGACAGACACCTTCCTTGCTTACTATGGACCAGGTGCTTTACAAACATAATCTTATTTAATGCTTAGAAAAACCCAGAGGAGTAGGCATTGTTTGTACCTAAATTTTGCACATTAAAAATTGACACATGGAGAGATTAAGAATTTTAAGACAATTTTGCTCAGAAGTGACAGAGAAAAGATTTGAATGTCTGTCTAACTTCAAAGCTCATGGAGAGATCTGCCACTTTGGAATATCCCCTTGGAAGGGTATCCCTACAAAGGCTGTGGAGTCCAGACATTTTCCAACCCGTGGTTGAAGTACAGGTCTGATTGCTTTATAGATGGGGAATCCATAAAAATAGCAATCTTTCTTCCATCTCCCCCATTCCTTTAAACATAACATGTGTTTTCCCCTGACTATAAAATAGCATATGCTCCTTGAGTTCTGGCCAAGATGGAGGCATAGGTAGAATCTAAATCATAGGGGTGCCAGAAGGAGAAGAGGAAGAGCAATAAATTTATAACTTATTTCAACAAGTAATGAAGGAGAACTTCCCCAATCTGACAAAGAAAATAGATTTCCAGGAATTCCAGGAAGCCCAGAGAATCCAAAAAAAGTTGGACCCAAGGAGGACATACCAAGGCACATCACAATTACATTACCCACAATTAAAGATAAGGAGAGGATATTAAAACCAGCAAGAGAAAAGTTGAGAGTTACCTCCAAAGTAGTTCCTATAAGATTATCAGCTGATTTCCCAAAAGAAACTTTCGAGGCAAGAAGAAGCTGGAAAGAAATATTCCATGTCATGAAAGACAAGGACCTACATCCAAGATTACTCTATCCAGCAAAGTTATCATTTAGAACAAAAGGGCAGATAAGGTGCTTCCCAGATAAGGTCAAGTTAAAGGAGTTCACCAACACTGTGCACTTATTATATTAAATGTTAAAGGGACTTATCTAAGAAAAAAAGATGATAAAAATATGAACGGTAAAATAACAAAAAAATCACAACTATCAATAGCTGAACCTAAAAAATAAAAACAAAAACAAACTAAGCAAACAGCTAGAACAGAAACAGAACCAAAGAAATGAAGATCACATGGAGGGTTATCAGCAGGGAGGTGGGGGGGATGGGGAAAAAGTACAGGGAATAAGAAGCATAATAGGTAGGCCTACAATAGACAGGGGGAGGTTAAGAATAGTATAGGAAATGGAGAAGCCAAAGAACTTATATGTATGACCCATGGACATGAACTATGTTGGGGGAAAGATTGTGGGAGGGGGTGTACAGGGTGGAGGGGATTAAGGGGGAGAAAAAAATGGGGCAACTGTAATAGCATAATCATAATACTTTAAAAAAAAGAAGTATTATTGGTAGGTACAAAATAGAAAGAGGGTGTTAAGAACAGTATAGGAAGTGGAAAAGACGAAGAACTTACATGCACGACCCATGGACATAAACTAAGGGGGCAGGGGGATTGCTGTAGGGAATGGTGGAACTGGGTGGAGGAGGCAATATGAGAAAAATTTGGACAACTGTAATAGTGTAATCAGTAAAATATATTACAAAAATAAAAATTCAAAAAAATAAAGAATTTAGTAGGTAGTGCTGATTACCAAGCTCCATTATCTTCATTGTGGGGATAAAGATGTGAGCAATATCAAGAGAATAATTCTTGATTTCCTTGAGCTTTGGTTCTGGCAGACAGTATTATTGAATGATTATGGAGCTCATTCTCTTTGCCAGCCACTCATCCAGTGCTTAAAAAGAAATATTAAATTAACAAAAATATCATTTTAACATGTGATCAATACAGATGATTGAAATGTATTACTCTATTTTACCATCTCTTAAATTTGACATATATTGAATATTTTATACTTACAGCATGTTCCGGTTCAAACTAACCATGCTTTAAGTGTTTGATATCTACATGTGGCTAGTGGGTACCATACTGAACAGTGCAGTTCTAGACTATGTTCCCTGGAACAATTAATGCATTTTATTAACCTTTGCTCATTCCCAGGACCTGGCATGTTGTAGGACTCAGCATATATGTTCTAAACTGAGCTGGCTTCAACCTCAAAACAATGCTCTGCGTCTTTCTCCTCATCTGCCCTGGAGCATGAAACCCTAAACATTAAACATATGGTAGATTAAGTTTCTGGCACTTTAATAGAAACACAACTCTCAGTACAGCAAGCAGTCAGAATCACCTCATTTTAGAATGTTTTGTATTATTTGTTATTTTTGGAAATGAAGACCTATAGGAGAAAAGTCTGAGTTCACATGTCACAATTGAATTAAACACATTCTAGGAAGATAAGCCATGGTGACCCTGTGTTTTCTTAAGGTATGGGAATAAATGTGGCACAAATGTAGAATCTGGGACTAGTAACAATGAATGTGTTTGTGAGTGGGGTGGGGGGCAGTGAAGGTGATAGAGCTACAATCCCACCTTAGCCTCTCAGAGGGAGGAAGCATTAGAAATGTCATGAATATTTATCATGTCATGGGCATGATATTGTCATAGAAATTATCAACAATATCTGAAATTGTATAAATTATAAAACAGTAATCATGGATCTCATGTTGTGATAGTGTAAAAATAATATTTTCATTAACATGAAGACTTATTAATATGAAAATAAAAGAGTCTCCTTTGGTGGCATTGACTAGCCATCTAGTCAATTAAAATATTAATAAAAATATTAATATTCTTACTCAAAAGTAACTACAATATAGTCATATCCATCTGTGCCTGTTTCTCTGTAAACGTGTTAAGTCATATGTCTTGGAGAAAGATAATGATCAAGTATATGAGTGTTTCTCCCTTATATTCTTATTGCCATAGCAATAGTGTTAAGTTGAAAGATGATTTACCTATAAAAATGAAATTATTTTTTAAAAAATTATTTTATTGTTCAATTACAGTTGTCTGCATTTTCCCCCCACCATTTCCTGCACCCCAGCCAAACTCACCTTCCTCCCTTCCTTTCACCTTCCTCCTTGGTTTTGTCCATGTGTCCTTTGTATCCTTCTCCCCACTGTTCCTGAAAATCCTTCACCCCACTGTTCCCTCTCCCCTCCCCCTGGTTACTGTCAGATTGTTCTAAATATCAATGTTTCCGGTTATATTTGTTTGCTTTTTTCTTTTGTTGATTATGTTCCAGTTAAAGGTGAGATCATATGGTATTTGTCCCTCACCGCCTGGCATATTTCACTTAGCTCTCCACTTCCATCCATGCTGTCACAAAGGGAAGAAGCTCCTTTTTTTCCTCTTTACTGCATATTCCTAAAAATAGAATTCTGAGGACAAATATTTATACTTTGGGAGTTGGCCACTCTGTTTCCCCTCAATCAACAGAGGCAGTTGGGGGTTGATTGCATTGGACTTCCAATGAACATTCACAAATTAGTTGTTGATTGTCTTGTTCTGGACTTAGTGAGGATGCCAGCAATGGGGAGATAGCTGGCCCCAAAGGAATCACACTGATTTAGGAATTGGGATCCACCATATCTTGGCCTTTAATGAGCTAAGTTTGGGTGGGCTAATTCTGATCACTGGATCTCAGTTCCAACATTTTTAAAAAGAACAGCATGAATGTTTGATGATTTATTCATAGTTTCCTTATATCTTTGGCATTCTGTGATGTCTTGTTATTTTTAACTCTTGGCATACTGTCATAGTAGAGAAGAAACACGTACATTTCAGTCGCCTACACCTTACCTTTTATTGAAGCCAGTTATTTGGATATTGAAATACTGCCAATAAAATGAAAGAAACATAATAATTCTGGGAGTTTGGGTATTGATATTAGCATCTAAAGTAGGGCAATACAATGGCTAAAAGATTATGTTCAGTAAATATTCACTGAGCATTCTGGTGGGACAACCACTTATTTGTCTTTTAAAATTCTTTCTTCCCTTTACACATTTAGGTCAAGTGCTTGACAATGGCTGGCCCACATATCCTAGTCTTTTGGCATTTACGTGAACAGTGACTAAATCCACCCCAATGGAAAAGAGGTAGAAGAGAAGCGATCACCTTTCAGATGAGCTCTTATACATTTTTTCCCATTTCCAGCTGATTAAGATAGAAATTATCAGAGATAATTTGGAAGCCAAATGTTGAAGCCATGAGCCCCATCAGCCTGTGTCCAGATATGGTTGTATAGAGTAAAACTGACACCAGGCTGAAACACTCACTCTCACATAAAAAAAGGAAAAATAATGTCTGTAAAATGCTGAGGTTTGAGGTTTATTTTTTTCTGGCAGTGTAGCCTACCTACCTAAGAATCTAGGCATTGTACTGGCGAGTGGGGATGCATCAGTGAATGATAGGGACAGATTCCTAAACCCTTGGGGGCTTAGAGTCTAGTGTAGAAGATAAATATTAAACATATAGCTTGATAAAGTGTAATGACAGAGCACATACAGAAGACAGGGAAGGATGAACTCATTCTACTTGTCAGGGCAATGACATTTTTCTTGAGCCTAATGAATTGGAAGGTTAAAAAGGAGGAGGTGTTATGAGCAGAGGAAACAGAATATGCTGAGACTCAGACATGGGAGAAACTGTGGCATCAGTGAAGAGCCAAAGGAAATAGAGTGTGGTTGGAACCTGGAGAAGGAAAGAGCTAGTGGTGGAAGGTGAGGCTGCAGTCATAGGCCAGAGCCAAAACATGGTTGAGCCTTATGATGAACTCAGGTTGTTATCCTAATGGCACTGGGAAGGAAGGGAATGACATGATCAGATTTCCAATTTGGGAGGTTATTTCACCTGATATATGAGAAGATTAGAAAGAGGCCAGGTGGGAAGTGGGAAGATGACTCTTACTCCTCTAAAAAGACCATATCAATGTGTGCTTGATATATCAGCCCCTGATAGTTTGAGGGTTTTGAGAAAGCCAATAAGAACAATAGAATTTAGTCATATCTTAGTCATATATTCTTGGTTGTATTATATCCTTAAAGGGAAAACTTAGGTTCAAGATCTGGTTTTGGCATCAACTTGTCAAGAGATCATTTTTCTTAACAAAATAGGAAGCTGGACTCCATAATATACTGGATCTTTTATGGTCTTCCTAGGGAACTCCTCTTGATTTTCTAGAAATTCTGCAAAATTATTATCTCCTTCATAAGAGAAAGGATGTGCCATCTTCTCTTTTACACATGTGCACTTCCCACATGACTTGTATTATTTTCTATGCCACGGCCTCCTCAATTAGTTTCTGAGGATTTTGAAAGCAAACCTATGAAGATTGTCCCATGTCTCCCACCCTGAGCTAAGTGTTAAAAAATGTATTCTGAATTCAAGTAGGCCCCCTAAAGGGAATTACATGAGAAAAAATGTATTTCATTTATTAGTCATAATTTTGCATATTTGAATAATATAAACAATTTCCTCTGCCATGAATAATTTAAAAGAATATGTTATATAGTTAACATCACCAACAATTTTGATTTACAAATATTTTTCAAGAGCAAGCAAAGATATTTGAATTAATTGTATCTCCTTTACAGTTTGCAATTAAAGATGAAAATTTGTTCTTTTGATTTTTCCAGTTCAATTTAAAGATGGACTGGGTTCCTGACTGAAGTGGTGCAGTTGGTTGAGCATCATCCTGCAAAGCAAAAGGTCAACAGTTCCATTCCCATCAGTACATATACTTGGGTGGCACATTTGATCCTTGGGAGGGTGGATATGAGAGAGAACTGATTGTTGTTCCTCTTCATGTCTTTCTCCCTCTCTCTTAAAAAATAGAGTATTTTTAAAAAGCTGGATTGGAGTGGATAACAGGCACCAAACCTGCAATATCTTGGATATGAAGTTGTTGACATGAACTCTTTGGAAATACACCTGAAAGCTCAAATGAAACTCAACAAAGGAGATCCAAGTGCCACTGACCTTTTGGGCATTTTCTTAAATGCTAAAGCAGACATTGGGACTGTAGAAGGATTGAGATCCCCTTCCAAGTGGAGAGCCTGCTCCTGGGTACTTTGTATACAGTCACACATACTCTGCTCTCCTGTTGTGTGTTGGCCCTTCCTAAGCAACAGTCACTTGCCCACTGTTACTATTGTCATTTACTTTAAAACAGGCAAAAAATGGCACTTTTATAGGAGATTTACCCACTGTTGTTATACATAGACATTAAATCATTCATGCATTCAACAAACATCTGAGTGCCTACTGTGAACCAGGCACCTTATAATATACTGGGGATGGGGACACAACAGTGAGGCAAAATCAGATATAGACTTTGATCTCAGAGAGCTTATAATCAGAAAGAAAATTGATATTAATCAATTAATCGCACAGTGACACTGATGAATCATTATAAGGGCAAGCAAGGAGGGTTCCATTGAGACTGGTGTCAGTCATGGGAGTCAGGGATACATCCCTGGTGAAGTGATGGTTGATGAGGAGTAGAAATTAAGTATGTGAAAGGAAAAGGGATCCATGTTGCAGGCAGATGAAATAGCCTGTGCTAAACTCAGTGGCAGGAAGGAGTGTGATGAACAGGGGGAACTGAAAGGCCAGTGTGGCTGGACCAGAGAGTAGAATGGGATGGAGGCTCCAGCTGAGAATGAAGAGGAGGCATAGATACCAGACAATGCAGGAACTTGTGGGCCACCACAGGGAATTTTAATTCTATGTCAAAAAATAGGAAATAATTTGTGAGTATTAAGCAAGAAAGTTAATAAAATTAGATGGATATTTTGGAAAAATCACTCCAGCTTCAATGTGCATAATGGTTTAGAGAGATGGCCAGAAGAAATGCAGCAAGACTGGTAGGGAGGCTATTTAACTTGTGTTAGTGTAGAGGTTCATGTGAAAACTGAGGATGTGCCAACTGAATCAGATTTGTCTGTGTCAGGGAAGACATGACCAATAATTATTTAGATCACTGTTGGGTTGATGGATGGGAAGAAGTAGATCTCAAGAGAAGCTAAGAATAATCATTGCTCAGGCTTCAAGTTGGCTCCAGGGACATGCCATCTTATTACTGCATTGCTGGTCACTGTTCCACCATATGGCATGCCACACTCTCATTGCTTGCTTCTTTGGGTTTTCTTTTTTCTCCTCCCTCTACCACCTGATCAATTTCCTTAGCATTTTTCTTTTAAACTTGGGAGGGAGAGTTTTATTTGCCTCACTGATTTATGGTTGCCCATACTGATCAGGGTTTTAATGCCAGCATACCCCATACATTGCCAGTTTGCCTATGCAATTATCCACCTTGGATCAGGTGATGACCCTGAGCCAACCCACTGCTCAAGTTAAAACCTAGAGCTGGTTACTTCAGCGGAGAGCTCTGGGTATTTTTCTCAGAATCTGGATTTGTAACAAATACTCCAGGACTCTGACATGGACAGGAAAGCTGTGGGTGGTGTAAAAGAATTGCTGAATTAAAAAAATTTGAGTTTGCTTTTTGACTCAGCCATTTATTAGTTGCATTACCTACACTAAGGCTTTAAAACTGCCAAATTTAATTTTTCATCTGTAAAATAATACTTTCCTTGTAAGTTATGAGGCTGGGTGTTAATATTTGTGAAACAGTCAGCACAGCATCTGATACACGAGGAGAAATCAGTATGCAATAATTGTAGAGAAGATAATGTTAGAAATGACTATCATCAAGTTCCTGGCAGGGCACAGATTCTAACTTTGATGGCACCAGAGATATCTATGAAAGGTTTACTCAGTAGGCAGGGTAAGAAAACTAAACATGGGTGTTGAAGCCCTTGGAGGCTAGCAACAGTGAAGGATTTACCACCCTTTGTCCTGGGAAGGCAAGCAGAGAAAATTGTACAACAGAGCTGAGTGAGAGTTGGGTTCTTTGAGCAGAGGCCACCTGATAAAAGCCTGGGTTGAAGGGAGACAGCCATAGCTAGAAATCAGGCAAATTAGTAAGAGAGTGGGGGAGAGATACCCCATGTTTTAATCTCCAGCCTGTGCCTCTCATTGACTGAACCAATCAGGACACAAGTAGGATGTATGGGTGGTGGAATATATAGGAATCAGCCTTTTGGGATACACAGAAGGGCAGAAATGGAATTAGGGGTGAACAAATGAGCAAGAAACAGCATGATTATGATGATGATGGAAGAAAAATACTGAGAATCAGGCTTATTGATAATCATTTTTTGTCAAGATTAAATCAAAGCTGGAATTCTAAACAACACAGTAGCATTTACAGACAGTTGGTGATAATACATAATTTTTTCCTATACAAGAATTTCAAAATATCATGAAACATTTAAGCTATTTATACACAGTGTCAAGCAATCTGAGGAAAACTATTAAAGAATAATAATCCATATTTTTAGACATGGCAGCCCAGTAGGTGGAAGCTGAGTCCGCTTGCACTTGCATCCAACTTGGACACCTGGCTGATCTTCTGAAAAATAAATTGAACATTCAACAGAATCCTAGCTGATATGAACTTTGGAAGCCAAGGAGTACAGAAGATGCTTCACAATGGGTGGTAATGATATTTTATAGGTGGAAGGGGAAATATCCCATGTGTGGCACTTGCAGCCACAGACAGCCTGGTCAGAGATGGCGGCTTTGCAGCTCCCTCCCCTTCAGGGCAGGAAACCCCCAGACACAGGCTGGGAGTGACTTGGGTACCCAAAGTCAGGGAGATCCAGGCTACACACATGTGAGCAACACACCCATAGCTGCAGCAGCAAGTGCAAACCAGGAAAGTGCCAGAAAGAGGGATTCTATTTGTACCCGGATGGACAGAAGAGGCTGGCCACTGTGAGACTCTTGGCTTTTTGGAGAGGTGGTGTGTACAGAAAGCCAGACTCAGTGCTGCAGTGGGAGTGCCCAGAGGGACAATTTAAAAGGTGGGGAGGGGGCTGAGATATGTTGGGCAGGGACGTCATGATTAGCTGCTCTGCTAGGAAGGGGAAAAGATTGAGGGCACAGTTTGTTCCCACTGAGTGCAACTGGGCAGAGAGATTATAAAGGTGCAAAATGAGTGGATTTCTCAGCCCCAGACAGAAGCAGCTGGTGGGACAGAGGCTTTGCAGAGTCTGGGACTCTGCCCGCTGTGAGGGCAGTGGGCTGGAAACTGGAGGAGCGGGAGGTGAGCACCTGAGATTACTTTCAGCCAGATAGACCCATTCCCTAACAATCTTAGAACCTCTAGGAAAGATAGGTCACACCCAGCCCCCATCTTCTGTAGGATGGAAAGCACCACCAATGGGGAAGATATGCAAAACAGGTAGATCAGGCTCAAGAACCCTATGCAGAGTATGTTTCCACAAGAGAAAGACAGAAAGAGGAATACCTAAAAGGCCCATTTGAAGTTCTTTCAGGGAGACAAAATAGGGCCCTGGTTCCTAGGGCCCTATTTTACTGAGGCCAGCAAAGCAGGACGATCAGAAATGAGGAAGCAGGGAGTAATCAGAACTTCACCCAGCCTCCTCTGCACACAGAGCTGCCATCAATACCAAGTAGGCAAGAAGTGGATGGAAAGTATTCAAAGTCATGAAAGGCAAGGACCTACATCCAAGATTACTCTATCCAGCTAAACTATCATTTGGAATGGTAGGGCAAATAAAGTGCTTCCTAGATAAAGTCAAGTTCAAGGAGTTCATCATCACCAAGCCCTTATTATATGAAATGTTAAGGGGACATCAAAAAAATAGAAGATAAAAAACTATAAACAGTAAAGTGACAACAAACTCACAACTATCAACAACTGAACCCCCCAAAACCCAAAAACTAAATAAACAACTAGAACAGGAAGAGAATCAGAGAAATGGACATCACAGGGAGGGTTTTCAGTGGGGATGGGAGGGGAAATGGGGGTTAAAGGTATAAGAAGCATAATTGGTAGGCATAAAAGAGATGGGGAGAGGTGAAGACGGGTATAGGAAATAGAGAAGACAAAGAACTTATATGTACAACCCACAGACATGAACTAAGCAGGAGATGGGGGAAGGCTGGAGGATTAGGGGGTGGGTGCAGGGATGGCAGAGGGAGGATAAAAGGGGAAAATTTGGAAAACTGTAATAGCATAATTAATAAAATATACTTAAAAAAAACCAAAACACCAAGCAAGAAGAGCTGACTTAGACCAATTGGCCCCTTGCTTGAAACTGATAACTAGTTCATCAGAAACTATACATTATTGGAAATAAGCTGGGACAGACCGAGATGGGTGGTGCAGGGACAGGGAAACACACACACAATTTTCCCAGAATACTGCAAGGTGCCTCTCACGGGAGACTCAGGGGTCCCATATTCCCAATCACAGGAGAAGCTCTCTCTAGAGGCAGGTGAAGGTGATACAGGTGGTGCTGCCAGAAATTGGAGGACCCACCCTAGGATCTTGAGCTGATAAAAACAAAACAAAACAAAACAAAACAAAACAAAACAAAACAAAACAAAACAAAGGTGGATACAAGAAGAGAAGTCAGAAAGTAAACACCAAATTGCTGAGACAAATTTCACCTTGCTCTTTTTCAGAATTTTCATTCTTTTCTTCTGTTCACATAGCTTTTTAATATTTTTGGCTTCAATTGTATTCCAACTTATTCATTATTCTTTGTATTTTAGTTTTTATTATTTTTATTTAGATTTAATTGTTTTTCTTTTATTGTTATTTCAAATCTCACATTGTACCCTTCTGTTGTATTACTTCATTTTGCCTTCATCCTGCCCTTCTCATTTTCATTGTAAATATTATTTTCCCACATGTTATGCCTTTTTTCTATTCCTTACTCTTACTATTTTTCTTCTGTCTATCCTCTCAAAAGCATTCCTCCTTCATTTAGTCAACTCAAATTTTTCCCTCTTATAATATTCTTATTTCCTTTCCACCTTTGTAAAGTGTGGCTTGTTTGACATAGATAATATGGTTATTGCTGTTCTTCTTCAATGGTATTCCTATTTATCCACTATTTTTAAAATTTCAAATAACATATGTTACTCTGCCCCTGTCTTACTCTATTTTGCCTTCTTCCTGACTTTTGTTACTTAAGAATTTTATTTTTCC